ATTGTACACTGCAGTGTCTTTTCCTTTAGATAATTCAATATGGAAATGTTGATACTCGTTTTGATATTTCAATAGATGGGCATGTTATGGATAAATTTTTGAGAGCTCACGCTTCCAACATGTGTTTCTGATGCGCAAACACCAGCAGGACAGTTAGTTTTGGTAATGTAGCTTAACTTTTCAATATCATACTTTCAGCAGTTGAGGCAAACTCACTAACAGAGTTTTAATGATGGCAAAAACTGTGTGGTTTCTCCAAACTTTTAACTGATTTTGTTTTTTTATCTATTTAAAGTTTGGTTTTCCCTCATTGACATTCTAAAGTAAACATAATTTAACAAGTTTGGCAGCAGTTGGTTAATTAAGCCATTTGTTGTATTGAGTCTTTCAACGATCTTGTAGCTCACTTTACCAACTTGGCATCCAGTAATTCCAGTTTTTGTTATGATTATTAGAAAACCTCGTATATTGAAAGAAAACGTCAAGAACAACTTATGATGTGTTACTTGAAATACTCATTAATGAAGTGAAATGGAGTTTTCTGTCCTACTTTTTCTTATTACGACTAATGAAATACAATGGAATTTTCTGTGGAATTGCTAATGAAATGAAATAGAGTTTTATATCCTATTTTTCTGTAACTTATTAGACTAATGAAATGAAATGGAGTGTAATATCATGCTATCTTGTACCTTATTGAACTAATGAAATGAAATGGGGTTTTATATACTACTGTTCTGTATCTTATTGAACTAATGAAATGAAATAGAGTTTTATATCCTACTGTTCTGGATCTTTACTGTACTAATGAAATGAATTGGAGTTATGTTATGTCCTACTGTTCTGGATCGTAATGAGCTAATGAAATGAAATTGAATTTTTATATCCTATAGTTCTATACGTTATTGTAGCCTGGGAAAATCAAACCTTCCATTGCCGAAATTTATTTCATTTCATCGTGTTGTCTATGAATTTTTAATGTCGTTCGATGCTGCTATTAGAATAATATTTAGTTTATTTTGATGTTATTTAGGGTATATTGTTTCCGTGGTATGATTTTGTATATTGTTTATCTCTCTTGTCAACTATCATGTATCTAAGGCCCTTTCACGCCACACCTAACTTTATTTTGTTCAAATTTCAATTAACATTTTTAAATATCACAATTAAATTTAATAAAGTTAAAAATGGGCGTTAGTATCTTTATGAAAACTGGAGATATCATTTTTGAATAACAGATACAAAGATAGTGGACCACAGCCATATACGCCCACCACGGCATGCGGATGGTAAATATTCCAGATTTTGGGGCAAGGGCAATAACTCTGCTTCTAACGGTCGAAAATAGCTCAAATTCGAACTTGATCTTCGTTTTATGAATATGTATACACATACCGAATTCCATTTGATTCCATCAAAAAATCTAGTTTTTAGAGCGTTTACAAGCAAATGTTGACGGACCGACGGACGGACAGGGGTGCCGACAATATACGTTCACATAGAGAGATGTGGGCGTATAAAGAGGTGTAATAATCGTCTTGCACTCCCTAAAGCAACTATAGATGAAGCTAAAGACTAGTCAACCTTTCTCAGCCCTCATACCCCCCAAAATGTGTTTCATCCACACTTTCAGCATGCTCTTTCAATTCAAAACAAATTCTTTTCCTACACCAGTTGGCGATTTTACTGCATTGACACGCTGTTACTGTTGTTTGTTCGCGTTATGAGCCTTTTTCTGGATGCCAGTGGCGGAGCCAAAGGAGGCAGAGGGGTCCCATATTTCATATTGAAAATTTTTGCTTGAACAATCGTAACCGCAGAGCTATGTCGTGTTTTTTTCTAAAGTAGTCTTGATCAAGGTGATTGTTGCATATTTTACAAACCTTTTCATTCATGTCATTCAAGCCACCCACAATGTACATAAAGTCTCTTGTTTCCCTACTATTTTAATCAATTAACACCCAATGTACACAATGTCTCTAGTTTCCCCCACTGTTGTCTGTATTGACATTGTATTCAACCGAGCTCTTTGACAATCTTAACGTAGAAAAACTAGACTGAACAAAACATTTAGAACGTAGGATCTTTTCAAGGTAACATGTGATTATTTGGCCTAATTTTGCTTTGTTCGTGTCTTGGGTTTTGCATTCTTTTTGCTCATTTTGTCTTTCAATATTCACAAAAAAAGGCCTATGTCCATATTTTAGCATTGTGACGTCACCTTGCCATCCGTTTGGCCAATCGTACCTAAGTCTCGAAACGGATTTTTTTTAGCTAACCTAATCAGTAATAGTGTTCACAGCTCACCATCGAAATTTGATCCTTCAGATCCATTTGTGTCCAGAATTATCCACGTCTGAAAGTTAAAATGACGACTCGTCTTTTCTAGAGACACTTGTCATAAGGACATAATATAGAAATAGAAAGTAAATTTCTAGTTTGAGGTATTTTTAAAGGAATTATATGATTTTCGTACATTATAGTACTACTTACATATTATTTTCAAGACCCAAATCACCCCTCGAAAATGACGAACTATCCCTTTAAAGTGGGCTGTATTGTACAAATGATGACGTCATTTATTCGAATTCAATACAATAAAATGAATGTATAGGTATTTTTTAGTACTATTTAGTACCTTGTGTTTGTTTATTGTATATATTTTGTACGCAAAACAATTAGTTCTGTTTCGTTGATTTTTGATGGACACTTTGGAAAACTGTTTTTGATTCGTGATTTGTATTTATAAGGAGGGGTCTTTTAATTCGTTTGGCCTACACAGTTTTTCAAAATTCAATAAACATTTTAGTTAAATATTTAAAACAGGCTTAGAATAACGTCTTTGAAGTATTTCGTATGAAAACTTTCCGATAGCTTAGGCCGATAACTAATTTTTGGATTGGATTTTGAACTGGATAATTGGATATCTATAAAGTATAGGACTACAACTGTATTCAGCGATTAAAACTACATATTGAACGAAATGTCTTAAGACAATATTAGTAAGAAGGTAAGAAAAATAAATAATTTTGGAATTGAAAGCATTTCAAATAAAATTCACAAATCACAGGGCAATGGTCGTATTGTATACTGTAGTTATAATAAACTGACAAAAAAAAATACTAAATGCATGAAAAAAATGGTAGCAAATCTTAAAGCGTCTAATTATTCTAGTCTACTTCTTACATGTTAACCATGTGCCAGAGCCTTTTGTTGAAAAGTAACTTGTTACTTTCAGTCATCCTAATCTCTTACATTTGCAACAGTTCCAAATTTTATAGTCTTTGTTGTCAAGACGCTTTAGTTTAATTATGTATATGGGAATTGTTTTCGCTTTAAGTATAAATTAACGATGTTTGTTTTTGCCATTCAGATATTTTCTGAGTAAAATGTATATTTTATAAAATATTAAATTACAGTTCTGTAGCCAATTGGAAGGTGGTCAAATTTAATAAAAGTAGAGCAATATGTTTCAGCCTTTTTGGGTTTCGTTTTCCCGGAATTTGTCATTGTTTTTAAGAAACATGTCCTACATGACACGCTTTGGTTAAAAATAACGTCGTTAGAACGGGATTGTGGTAGAACAGTTGTTAGATTACGAAGTATATCAGAAACAATTCAAATTATAATCTAATTTAATTTGTATGGTGTTTGTCATCCTCTTCGTATTGCATTCTTTAATATTCATGACTTCCGCCTTGACTTTTAACTTCAATCACTCTACGATTGGAAACAGTTTTATCAGACCACATCACTTGCCGGCACCAATTTTAGAATTTCAGTACATTTTCCAACTACCCACGTCCTCTGCCATTTTTGCTGGTCCATGTTTGATGTTTGACTACATTTTGTATCTTTTCTTCCATTGTTACTAATTTTAAATCTTTTGCAACTATTTCACCTCAACACGAGCAAGGCAATAAAATTAATACTTTTTCATTAGTATTAAACGGTTGGCTAGATGTAAAAAAAACATATTCAACAAAATCGTAAAAGACTAGATTGAGATAGGTCTTTTATAGAATATGATAAACAGGTTAAATAGAATGAAATATATTTTAAAGGGATATGACTATAGATGTTTGACCGTCTATGGAATATGCTATGAAACAACATGGATATATCCCTTTAAAATGATTTTTCTTTTTTTTATATATATATTTTCAAAATTTTATTTTATCTTATTTCTGCTTTTTGTTTCGTTTTTGGGGTTTTTTTTGTTTGTTAACTTTTTTTTTGAGAGAGTAGGGTGGTGTTTTTTTTTCTTAATTGTTCCATTTGCCAATTAGATAATTAAATAATAGACTAATAAATCAAAATTTTAAAAACTGTTACAAACGTATATAACTCTTGTCCTTTGGAGGTGTTTTTTTTTTTTGTCTTTTTTTTCTAAATCTTCACTATTTATTCAAATACTAACTTTTAGTGTTTACAGACTTGAAGTTGATTTGTAAAGCTGTGTAGATCTAATATTCAGAATATGAAAGCCCACCCTGTTAATACTGTGTGAAATATTACATATAAAAATTAGTCCGGCGGCTATCGTTCCCAGCCAGTCAAGCATAGCTAATATATCTCAATAGTTGATACTTTTGAACAATTTATCGTACCACGCCTTATTTATCCATTCATAAACTACTACATAAACATAGACAAATTGGGAGAGGAAGGTGAAATACGCCGACCCTGCCAATGATAAAACCACAAAGCAAATACAGACACAACTATCTATCTTGAATATTCCCTAATGGTCGGTCGGCAAGTTTATCACACCGAAAAGCTCAATTTTACAAATGTAATGTACAGTCTTTAAAGCTTTCAAATATTGTTTGCACCAAACGACATCTTGTTTGTGACGAATTCTATATTTGTGTGCAGTTTGTATGACGTCATTGATTTTGAGTATGACAGTTTGCGACATCATTGAGTATAATGGGGTATATATAATGATGTCATCGATCGATGGGCTAATTATAAATTTATACAAGCAAGTTTGGAATATGGAGCGTAAGTTCAATGACTTTGTAGACGAATATTTCCGGGAGGGGGGGGGGGGGGGGGGGGGGGGGGAACCTTGGGTTGCTTCCCCC